CTCCCCCTTTCTGTAGTGTAATGCTTTTGTTTTGTGGCCTGGCAATTCTTGCTCCTCTTCTGGCGCCTCTTTCAACTGGCGGATGGAATGGGGCGCAGCATCGGATGTTGAATGTCAGTGACTGCCACGCCCCCTCCCTTAAGGGGGCATCTAACCTCTGGTGGCAATGATGGCGAAGCAAACCACTTGGACTCACTCCAACTCAATGGGTTTGGTGAGGTCTTTCAGCAGGATATTTTATTTATATTTTATAGAAAATTTATTCAATTTATATGCACTTTTAAAGCTATAGTTTTCAAAAATTCTATGTCTATTTTATAGAAAATGTAATTTATTTAAAAATCACTTTTAAAGCAGTAGTCTTACATACTTTTCTTGCATTTAAAATCATTCATAACTAAGCCAAAAATGCTTTAATTTCAATACGGAAATAGTTTCTGTGCTAGTTTTTTTAGGGCTAAAAAAGCTGTATACTGGGTTTTAAAATATAAAAATTTTAATCTTATATCAATTTTGACCATTTTAACGATGTAACCCCTTATAAAATTTTAACAAAAAATTTTAAAAAAATTGTTTTCTTACAAACATAGCTAAATCGACTCGGCTTTTCATGATGATCAAGAGTATATTTGATTTATAGGGTGGGAAATAATTTCTTTGCTGAGTTTTAAGCTTCTGACTAAAATTATGATACCCTGAAAGGTTATAAAAATGAAAGGCTTTTTGTTTCCATTTTAGTTTTTTTTTTTTGCTGATTAAATAAAAATTATTAAGTCTCTGCGTTATTAAGGAAACATAAAGTTAAATAATATATAGCAAAATCTACAACTAACAGAAAGACTTTGTGGTTATTAAATAAAACCAAATATTGATAATAAATTATAATGCTCTAAAAACTTACACATCAATTACAAATTCTGGCAACAATTCAGCATATTATATTAAATAATTTAAGAGCTTAAAGTTAATTTTTCTGATTCTCTCAGGTATCTCATTATCACCTTTAAGCAGTTAATTGCAGCCAAAAGGCTCATCTTCCCAGCAGGATGGTTTTTCCCTTGCCAAGTTGTGAAAATGTTTTTCCTCACTTTACGCTCTAAGTGATTTTCAATTATGAAGCGCGACAACAAGGATTCCCGGGATTCCTGGGGACCAAGTTTACCTGCCCCACAAGGAGGGGAGCATTGTTAAAAAATGTCTTGCATAAAAAGTTTTTAATTGCCATGTGCTTTTCCCCAAAAAAAAGGAAGGAAGAAAAAAAGACCTGGTAGTTGAGTATTTTTTGCTGTAGTAATTAGTTGCTGCTTCAGCTGCAAATTAAGCCATAATTATGCGCAGCCAGCGACACTCTGAAGGAGTTGACTGAGCTATGAAGGGTCTCAGGATACCCCTATATCATACCCACAAACTTCTTTGGCCAGCTCAAAGTCCTAGCCACAACAATTGGCCAACAAGTTGTCGCTGGCCAACAGCTCTTGCAACATAAACACGGAAAAAAGGTCATGCAAAATATTTGCTTAAAAACCATCAAGTTCGTCGCCATTGAGCTGGAACGTGTGGCAATGCAGGGCTTTGAGTGAAAATTGGAACGATGGCAAATTTGGAACACTGAGAGAGAGAGAGAGAGCGAGAGCGAGAGTATATTTCTCTCATAAAAGGACTCGACATGAGCAACAAGAAGCTAAAAGTCGCCGACAATTGCAGCTGCCGTGTTACTCTCTGGGATTCCTGTATTCTGGTCATAGACCATTTTCCACCATTGTTATGCCAGATTCCTGGTGATGGGCGACGAGAGGGAGTTGATAGTGCCATGAGAGGGAGGAGGGAGGAGGGAAGGCGGGAAGGCGGGCGAGGACAGTGGCAAGGACATGACTGATAAGCGTGGCAGCGACACTGTCAAAGGTTGTGATTGATGCACACAGGTTGTAGCTGCTGTCAGGACAGTGGACATGAAGTGAGGACAACGATTAAAGTCTTTGTTTTTTTTTTTTAAGAACTTGTGATAGGAAATGGGAATAAACGGTTATATATTTAAAATAAATGGGTATTATATCTCTTTCTTAAAAGCTTCTTAAGCAAATAGCTAAGATAGAGCTTAAATAACATATTAACTGGAGCAGAAATCTAAGGATTATTCCCTGAACTTGTTTAAAAACCGATCTCTTTCTGATATATATTTTAATATATAAATACTATTAATTTCAGTTGATTTTTTTCATATATTTGAAAAGAAGGATCCTTTACTGACTTCCCTTTCTTGTCTGACTCCACTGTACTCTAATTGCTGTTGGTCTTTCACCTTTTCCCACTGTCAACGCACTAACTGTAAGCGATGTTTTCTCCGATGAAGCTCAACGGCATTCAGCCACGTAACGTATCTGTACATCTGCATTTACAGCTAGACCCATACACACACAAATGCAATAATACAGGTGTGCGTGTGTGTTCGATTCCCGGCAGGAGGTTTATTTTTCAATGCGGCGCTAATGTCCTTTTCTTGCTCGCCTTTTTTTTTTTTGTTTGTTGCTGCCGCCCACTCTGGCCTCTGGCACTTTGTCAATTCGCAAACAAAAACGAATTGCACACAGGATTATCGAAGAATACTCATACGCAATGGTGTACCACTGCGCATAGTTGCTCTCTGACTTTCTCACTTGTCTAATAAGAAAGTTTTCTTTAACTAATCAATTTCCTTTTATTTATAAACATTTGTTGTCTACATTTTTTTATTACCAAATAACAAACGATGCTGTCTTTGGCTGTGCTGCTTCACATATGAATAGGCCCATTTGTCACAACGATTGTCATTGAAAGAGTTGTAATTCGATTCAACTGCCAAATATCCCAACTCGTCACAATGCTCGGCACCTTTGTAATTATCTGGATTTCCGGGACCCCAAAGTTTTAATAATATCGGTTGACCGGTTGACAACCAAACATGTTTTCCCTGATTTCCCAAATCAGTGCCTGAAGTCCAATACTGGGCCATTATCTTGTATTTCCAGAGAAAAGCATTGATCAAGTTCCATTCCTCAATGGTCTCAAAAGCAATGAGGTCGGCGCCCAATTGGCGACAGGCAGCGAAAGCATCAAACCAATTCTTTGCAGTAACTCTTTCAATATAGTAATATCCATGGCCGATCTTTGTAAACGGACCAGTTGTTATATTCAGGTACTGCGGTATTCCTAGAGAACATTTATAGGAGTTGGTAACTTTAACTTATTTGTTGTATTAATTTATTTTACCATCCTCTATGGTTGGTGTCACTTCAAAACTTCCGACCAATGAAAATAGGCACAATATAGAACCGAGAATTGTTCGTCTTATGAACATTTTGCGAATACTGATAAATGCGTCTGAGAACTCAACCATTTTATACTGAACTTAAGGGTAAAAAAAGATATATGTATTTACCCCACATTTAGAGATAGTCTTATACTTAAATAAACATTAATTTCAATTTTCTTAGAGTGTATAGTAAATATAGCTTTTTAAATGGCAAACAAAATAAGCAGTACAATAAATAATTGCCAGGTAGTCATTTTATCTGGGAATTCTTTTCCTTGCCGACTCAATAAAAAAATAAACAATGTTGTTTAGTTTAGATTTAAAGTTTGTGCTTCATTCTTTTTCAAGATTATGAATAAAAAGTTATCTGAAACGGTTTGTTCTTTTATAAATAAGATCTAGTTGTTCAGTTTCTTTGCAGACTGCTTTTATTTATTATTATATAAACTGCTTTTATTTTATTGCCAAATAACAAAAGACACTGTCTTCGCCAGCGGCGCTTCGCATATGTACAGAAACTTATTTTCGCAATTATAATCATTCAACGTGTTGTAGTTGCTTTCAGTTGCTCTATCTCCCAGCAGGTCACAATGTTCATTTCCCTTATAATTGTTTGGCTCTCCAGGATACCATATTTTTAAGGATATTGGTTGACCGGTGGAGAACCATTCATGCTTTCCCTGACTCGCCAAGTCCGTTCCCGAGACCCAATACACATAGCCAATATTATTTTTCCAGAGATACTGATTGATTAAATCCCATTCTTCAATAGTCTCAAAAGAAACCAGATTGGCACCCAAGCGACGACATGATGCGAAGGCATCAAACCAATTCTTTTGAGTCCTCAATTCAATGTAATAATAACCATGGCCGATCTTAAGGAACGGTCCTGTGGTAATGTTCAGGTACTGCGGTATCCCTATGGTGTACTTTACAAATTAGAAACGTTTATATATATATATATCGATAGAGTCATATTTACCATCTTCAATGTATGGAGTCACTTCAAAAGCTCCAGCCAAAGAAAATAGACACAATACCGAACAAAGAATAGCGAATTTAGTAAACATTTTGCACATACTGATGGCTAGGCCTTCGAGCAAAGCTCTTTTATACTCAACTTAAAGTGCCTTAAGCGACGGAAATGATACTCTTGATTTTAGTCTAGAGTAAATACTAATTTGGGCTTTATAAGAGGGCTAAGCAAATATGGGCTTTAAAGTGGGTTCTTAATAAGATTGCTTATTGCATATTATCTTGCAATTATTTTTTTTACTAAAACAAAATAATAATAAATAATTTAGTTTACCTTTGATTTTACATTTCTTATTTTAAAAGATTTTGTCTGCTCTTGAACCGGTCGGATCGAAAGACTATATCTTTCTCTATCTCTCTATCTACCTATCTCTACCTTACTGCCTCTCCCTCTCTGCCTTTGTCTCTCTCTCTCTCTCTGTGTATCTCTAGAGGTCTCTCTTTATCTCTATCTCTCTCTACTTATCTCTATAGAGATAGCCCTTTCTCTCTCGCGCTCTCTATTTTACTTTCTCCGTATTCTCCACACTCAAAGAGTATAAATACAGCTTCTGCCGTCGTGCTGACCTCATTCTGTCCGCGGCTTCTTGAGTATTAACATCTATAGTGATAGTGACCCCAAAAATTTCTCCTGAGAGAGGGTAACTAAAATTAATTATACACCTCACAGCTTAGAGAGAAGTAGCTTCAATAGCAGTAAATGTCAGGCTAGAATAATATATAATATATATTTTTGGTACAAAAATGTCAGAAGAGCCCGCTGTTCCCATTAAGACGGCACTGCCTTGCGGTACCCCACTCAGACCGGCACCCATTTACAAGAAGCTGATGGTGGAGAACCTAACAGTTGTCCGGCCGCCAATTCTAAAGATCTACTATTGGGAGAGCTTTGACATAACAGGGTGAGTTCTTAGCCATAACCAGATCCTTTGGGTTACTTGACATAACCCTTTCCTTTCCCAACTGATAAGCTTAGATTGAACAAGAAGTTGCGCTCGAATCGTGCCGAACATGAACACACCATCGTGATTCCCATTCGCCAGATTCATAGTCAACCTCTGAAGATCATATTCTGGGTAAAGAATCTCGCGTCCACAGACACCAAGCTGACCCTGAAGCGAATCCAGAATTGCCAATGTCAGCCACTAAGGACACAAGTTGGCTTCAATCAGTATCGCCAGCTCTTCAACTGCCCACACCGTAGGTTGCTCCATATTAACCAGGAACTTCTGGTCATCAAGCCCGATGAAGTGGTGGCCCTCACTGCCACGGCATACTTCTTTCTATATGGCGATCATCTACTCACCTATGAAGTTAAGTAAGTATCTTAGTAACTAACAAGTCAAAAGATACTATGGATATTTCTAGCACCGATGACAAGCGCAAGTTCCTTTGGCATTTTCATCTGGAGATCTCTGACTTTCATCCCGAAAAGTGCTTGCTCACCAAGGAGCTGCTGCCTGTGAACATAAAGAATTTCTCACATGTCACCCAACCCATTTGGGTGCAGAATATCACAATGTCCCATCTTTCCTTTTCGTTTTCATCGCGTGATCGTGGCCTGAAGTTGCTCAATATGAATCTCACAGTTCCAAGACAGAGTGTGTGGCCACTGCTAGTGGACTATCGCCCACTGGATTACGAGAATGAGGTATAATCAGGAGAAATGGGATTAAGTATATATATTATTTCTATAATTTGCTATAGGCTGAGGTCTTTCTGACCTACAACAGTACCAAGGCTCGCTACAAAATCAAAGCTCGAGGAGTGCTGGCTGACAGCAATGAGGAAACGGAAATGCCCCTGAGGGATCGCGAGTGCACCGACTTTCTAAATGTCATATATCCCAACCGAGTCAATGTTGAGGCCTGCCTACGGAAGAGCGGACGCAGCTCGTCAATGTCCATAATTATGGACAAAAATGCCTCGAATTTCGCTGGCAAAGGTGAGCTAGAAATCGAGCTATCACTATAAGAAATATCCTTAATTAATTTCTGACAGCTACATCATTAACGAGTTCTTTTCGGTGGTCTTTAATCCGCCCATCTTCCGGCTCAAGAGCCATCACTCGAAGCTTTGCGTGATCTCGGTGACAGTGCTCGAGCGTCTGGTGCACTTCCGGCGCATACCCATTGTCCTGGAGGTGCACCGCATCCTTGATCGCGCCACCCAGATTGCCAAAGGAGAGCTGGCCGAGATTGAGTCCATCGATGATCCCAAGTGGAAAGAGGACAGCTACTTGGAGCACCTCTATCTCCAGCTAAATATCCGCACCAGCTTGAAGCCGACTTTGGATACATTCGAGGATATGGAGCCTGGTGAAAAGATCGATCCCACAGCAGGTCTCCCACCTTGTGCTCAGTTTGGCTCAGGAGTAGGAGCTGCTGAAAGGGCAGAAGATTCGATCACGGAACCACCAAAACCGGTGCCACCGAATGAACAGCAGCGGTTGGAGACGGAACGCAAGGATCTTATTCGTCGACTTATGTCCAAGAATCGACTCTGCTCCAATGAGATCATAGACTTGAGCATGGCCATTGATCAGCGTATTACCATTTTCGAGAAACTCTTCTGGAAGTACCTCAGCAAGTCCAAGTTCATGCGGATCAATCAGGAGCGAAAGCGGCAAAAGACAATGAAGACCTACGAGCAGGTGGTATGTCCTGATGAAGATTTTCCAGTGGAACCCGTCACCGAACTCGATAGCAAGTAAGATTATCTTGTTTTCCAATTATTCAATATTAATTGATAATTAATTAATACCTTGTTAGCAACATTATGGATATCCTATCACGCCTGATGCAGGAGGCCATCAACGATTTGGCCAAGAACTGGATCTTCATTCCCTCGCAGTATTACGAGCCCGCCAATTAAATGTTCCCCCAGAGTTAACCAAATACATTGCACCACCCAAAGATTCGCCAGCAATCCTTGCATCCTTTGCATTTTCCTTTTGCGAAGGATGCACTCACTTTCGGGTTGTCCGCACCGCGAAATTTATGTAAGATTTCGCAGGAGCTGAGAGCCAACGCCTCCGTCTCTGCCTCCGCCTTTCGTGGTGAGCATTTTGGGTGAATTTATGTGTCTGCAGGAAGCCTTTTAGGACTTTCCTTTCCACGCAGACGAAACAGGGCGTGGCAGGGGGATACTAAGGAGGGGTCAGACCATTTGAAGCGAACCATTGAAGCTCGGCGCCGGCGATAAGTTTGTGTGGGAAGCAGGCCAAATGGTCAAGTGTATAGCGATTTGTGTTAGGTGGAGTGTCTAATAGTTGAAATAGCCACCAGACTCGGTGAACGTTTTCTTACAAGAACAATATGGTTTAATGTTTATTTAAAAAACAAAAAACAAAGCTCCATACGAGAAGCTGAAGATTGCATGCCCTTAGAGTTTGCAATTGAAATATAAGGTCGAATCAGATATCGATCATAAAGAAGCTGTAAATATTCGCTTCCATTGAAACGATATTTATCCATAGTTTTATATGACAATTTTTTCGATAAATCGAAATTTAAAAATATCATAACTCAGCCAAAAATGCACTAATTTAAATTCGGAAAGTATTTCTGTGTTTGTTTTTAATAGGTTTATTCATCTGCATACTCAACTTTAAATTTAAAATTCAAATTTTTGACAATTTTTACGATGTAACCCGTCCTGTTTTTTTTTTATCGAGAAAATAGCGGAAATTTTTATTTTAAACTAAACATAGCTTAATCGATTCAGCTGTTTGTGCTGATCAAGAATATATATGAATAATGGGGTCGGAAATGACTCCTTCAAATCGTTTTCAGCTTCTGACTAAATTATATTACCCTGGCAAGGGTAAAAAATCAAATTTTCATATTTAACATTTTCCTATACAATTATAAAATACAATATTTTAAATGGAAAATATATTTAGATTATTCTTTGTTGAAACCAATTTATTTCAAAATAAACCGCCAAGAAGCTCCACCTGGTGTTTTAACTCCTAACCGGCACTTATGAAAGAGCTCTCTATCGGGAAATTAATTGAACTGCAACTCAGTCTGCCTGCTAGCAAAGCTTCCCACCATTGTTTTTTTGTCACAACCAAAAACTTTGTACGTCTTAGTTTTTAAGCCATCCTTCGATTAATCTTATCGATATTTTTGGCATTCTAGCAAAGACAATGTTACGTGGTTTGGTATGGCCGAGAAAACCGATATATTACACATGCTAAATAGAGTTGTGCATCTGAGTCTGGAGTATGTGTTAAATTGTGGTCACATCCAATTTAAGTAAATATGCGACAGTTATATATCGATAACTACAGACCTATCGATAGCACTTTGAAATGTTAGTCTGTTTTGGTATTTTAAGATAAATGTAAAACGGTCACTTGTGTTTGGACCGCGTCACTTTTATGCTATTTAAATTAAATGAAAAACGTTAATTTATTGTTGTCAATTAAACCAAATTGTGATAAAAACCACTAAAGCCGAAGCCAAATAAGCACTTCTTTGTGTTTTATTAAAAATCCTATGCAAGGAAGTATCGGGACTTGAGAGAGAGAGAGAGTGATCAAAGGAAGCCGCTTTCATCGCACGCAAAAAACAGACGCCAAATTTTCGCACACATTTTCGCCGCATTCCGATACTTGCCGAATCTAAAGAAAAGGATATCCCGCAAAGCAAGAAAGATGAGCAAGGACATTTACTACTCGGACAAATACTACGACGAGCAGTACGAGTACAGGTGAGTGCGCCCGCCGCTGAGAAGAATTATCCAAAAGGCTGAAACTGTAAATCCCGCAGACATGTGGTGCTGCCCAAGGAGCTGGTGAAAATGGTGCCCAAGACGCATCTGATGACCGAGGCCGAGTGGCGTTCGATAGGTGTGCAGCAGTCGCGCGGATGGATACACTACATGATCCACAAGCCGGAGCCGCACATTCTACTGTTCCGGAGGCCCAAGACCGAGGAGTAGGCATCGAGGCGGATCAAAACAACAACCGCAGCAGATACACACACCTACCTACCTACTACCTACCTCTTGTACCCCTCGAACCCCTAACCCTAACACTGGCATGCTCATCCGGCAGCTGCTACGATATGGTGGTGGTGGTGGTTGTTGCTCGGAACCAACTGTTGCGACAATCATTCATCTTCACGTCGAGTCGAGTCGCTGCGGAGAGCAGTTTTTACCTCTTACTTTTACTACGTGTCTGTGGCAGATCCTTTCCTATCTTTACCTATACCGCCTATACCTGTAAATGTAGCATTTAGAGATAAAAACGAAGTTTGCCATTTCATCACACGCATATTTTAAATACCGGGAGGCGCGGTTGCATGTACAGATGACTCCCCCCCCTTGGCCACTTGCCACACGTCGTCTTATGTTGCCATTTCGAAACGGAAGCGGAAGCGAAAGGAAGAATTCGTTCACTTTTACTAAGCTTAATTGAAATCTGATTTGTGATCTTGAAATTCTTAATCAATACAAATATGTTTACACATAATATAATACACTTAAAAATAAATATGTTTAATGTATGAGGCGAGGCTTGAGGCGTTGATTGCTCAAAGTTTTCCCGAAATCGAACAAACTTCAGCATTTTTAACTGTTAGTTATGGGTGGTATTTAAGATATACATATATTTATGAGGAATTTTTTATTATAAGTCCAGGAAAGAAGTTTCCTATATCATGTCAAGTCAAGTAAGTTAATTATTTTCTTTAAATCGTTATACTTACTAATTCTTTATTCTTGCAGGGTAATTTATAAATTGATCTTGGTTATCAGAGCCCCACTAATTCAAAAATGATTTTAATACAGCAGTATGTATACACTTTATCGGTTAATGTCACTGATGGCTTACTTTAACATGATAATACTTTCTAAATACGACTATCCCATTTTAAATTTATTCGAAAACCAAGCCTAACCAACCTCTTAGCATTCACAGTCGGTCCTTCTGGTACTTTATGATTCATTCTACATTCATGGAAACAAAGTAAAACTTCTAAGGTCTCTTACATGTTAAAACAAAAGACCAAATTAAATGATTTCTTTTGGGAAACTTGGAAATTTAGAATACTTGGTTGTTTTTGTTTAGAGAACGACCTGTGTGTGACTACATTTTAAAAAGCCAGCAGTTTTAATCAGAAGCTTTGATGACTTTGATTAATTTGTCATCTTCTATACTCTCAAAATACTTCTTCAGATTTAATTAAAATCTATTTTTGAATGAATTAAATTCTTTGCTGATTAACGAACAACGAAAAGTAATTGAACATGTATATGTGGCTCAGAAATATATGTACTACTATTGTTTATAACTCTCGATTTTTCAAAAAGTTTATTCTGAAGGTAAATAAATAAAGCCCGTAAAATAAGTAAAGCTTGATTATGGGGATATGTATAATTTTAAACACAAAAAAATCGTAGAAATATAAGAAGTTTCCTCGGTAAACGACAATGTTTTGGATAACAATACAATATATTTATATTGTTTTTCTGAAATACATAATCTTAGATTTTAATATAACTATCTATCCTATTTATTTATTATCCATTGTTTTTATACTACAAAACTAGATTTTGAGCTGGTTCCAACTCGATGGCTTCTTGAGCCCCCCTCCAAAGGCTCATCCTCATTACGTATCAATTTTCGAATTAACTTGGATCCAACCACCAACACGGACGGACGAACGGACGGTCAGATATCTAATTATTTAGTTATTTATACACCACAACATGGCAACATGTGCAATTTCCAATCTGTATGTGTGTGTGTGCGTGGTGTTGTGTCCAGTGTCAAAAATGAAGATCGACAGTTCCGGTCCGATTGTGTGTGTTTTGGTGCTCACCTCTTCAGATGAGAAAAGGGGGCAGCGCGAACCACGGTTTAGGTTTAGGGACTACGCCAAGCGATGTCAACTGCGAGCCACTTAGCCGCATCCCATCCTCCGGTCATCCTCCGGCTCTTCCGCAGCCAGAGCACTCATACACTCATTTCCCACCAGCATGGAACTGGCCCCGGGCCCCCAAGGCAAATCGAATTGAAGCGGATCAAAGGTAGCTGCAGCTGTGCTGATTTTTATTACTTTATTTCTGCTGCTGATATTTATTATGCTAGGAATATGAAACCGGAAATGCCCAACTAACATTCTTTAGCTCGGCTTAGGCCTGCAACCATACCACTTTCTTGCCTTTGTATATGCCGGGGCACCCTCAATCAAGTTCAAGTAGCACAATGGTTATGACCATTGTTTGGGCATTTATTTTCGGGGTGGTTTTGTCACGATCTTTGCCATTATGGGGGCTGGATTGAGTAATGTGCAAACTTGACCCACTTATACGGTGAGTTGTCCGCAGTGTCGTAATAAACCAGATCTAACCAGAATTTCGCTTTCCTTTATACAGCCTTGGAACCCCCTGATTGGCATTAGCAACAATGCGAGGATGATCAAGGCGGTGCGGAGTGCCTACAATGCAGCGGCTAATGAGAAGGAAGCAATCGAGAGTGGATATGGATGCCAGGATACCAGGCCGTAATGAGTTCCTTTCACTGCACCGCTGCTACTCTTCGTAGTAAAGGAAGGCGAAACAAGGCGCGACAAATTACGCGGCCTACGCTGCGTATGCGTTACGTGAGAGATGCTTGGAGCCGCCGAGAGCAGCAGCAGCGGCTTTTGATGAATGAAACAAACACACTCTGGCACACACACACCCGCAGTACACCCGCAGCACACCCGCAGCACACCCGCAGAGACCGATGCCGACGCTGACAGCGCTGCTAGCAAGCATTTTGCGCGGTAGCTAGCTATATTTCGAATTTGAATTCGATTTAGCTTCTAGTACTGTTTTACAAACCGACGAGTCAGGTTCTACTGCCGCTGCCAGCAGAACAGACCCGACCAGATCGGAATCGGAATAGCTGAGACAGATCAGTCAGTCGCTATAACGCCGCGAACTATAGCCAACGCGCTGCAGATCCCGAAAACTAATCCCGATACCGATCCTACCCCATCGTTTTTTTGGGCCCGTGCCTGAAGGGTTTAATATTTATTGCCCGGCCTGAGGCAAATGTGAATGCTTTTGATTGTAAGTGGTCCCAGAACTGCATAGCATATTGGAAAACAATTCAAATACATTATCAAGTGTTGCTAAAAAACAATTAAATGATATGGAAAAAGACTAAACCTGAATGTATGCATCCTGTGCTGTGATAAAAAATATTGAAAACACATTGTGAAATCCTTTAAAGGATCCTAAGGTTAATCTTTATTATATAAATTATATTCTTTGTTTTTGTTTTCAAAAGACTGTGGATAGTTGGGTAAGTTTCTTTTCTCTAGATGACGCTGTTTTTAAACAAATAATAAAAAGGTTCGGACAGAACATAAGTAATTTGTTAAATATTTAAATATTCAAAAGTCAAAAGAAAATTTATAGTTCAACGTTGGGAAATACAATTAACCAATCAATAAATCATATTTAAGTGTCATTACTTGGCTTAATGGTATGTTGTAAAAATTTTATGAAAGGGACAACTTATTTAAGTAATTGTTTAATATTTTGCAATGTCTACATATATAATTATATTTATATAATTTCTGTCACCCTGGCTACAAGGTTTAGGTTTTAAAATTATTAAATATAAAGGCAATATGTCCTTGCATCAATTTTACATTGAATTAATTGTGTACACCTATCTAGAACCATTTTTAACTTAACAAATATCTTGAAAAATGTAAAACTATAAGGAAAATGATCTATTATATATATTTTTTTAAGAAATATATTGAAAATTAACTACAGGCTGGCCACCAGTTAACTTTCATTTACTTTCTCGATGACATTGCATCGATTTACTCTTCCTTAGGCACACGAGAGAAGCGTGAATAATTTCCGATTAATCAGACTGATAAGATACTGAACCACCGCCGCCCCACTGACCTTGATAGAACCGCCTACCAGCCTCTATGGGGGCGTGTCAGACAGCTTGCTTTCTTTTTTAATTCTTTTTATTTTTAGCGCACTATGCATTTTGTATGCTCGATGCACCAAAATAGTTTTATCTCTCTTCTCTGTTGCCATAATAATGCAAAAATGAGAGAGAAAATATATATATATTAAACAATTTGTAAATATATAATTTCTAGCGAGATAAGCTAATAAAATATTTGTTGATTTCTGAGAACCTCCCACATTTCTCACCCTAATAAAATCGGTTTATATGATAGCATCGTGAACAGATAATATTTAGCTCTCAGCGAAATACTGTTCCAACCGAGAATGATTCAGTTTTATCTTAATCACGTTTGTGATATGTTTTAAAATATTTCAACCGTGTGCTAGTCGCGTTTTTTAAATCGGTTTAATATTCGCGGAACCAGAGTGATTCTCTACAGATAAGGAAAAGCTGTGCTACCGTTTTCGAGATAGTCAGACAGACAGTCTATAGGCTGGGGCCATCGCACGAGTCAAGATTATTTAGTCATATATATTTGTATATACCTACAAGGTGTATTTTTCTATATATTGTGTACATAGAACCTCGTAAATGCATTTCTAAGCCCATTAAAATATGGGCGAATATTTGTCAACAAAATAAATATTCAACTCGTGGTCGTTCCTATAAACAGCGTCAAAAGCCAAGTTGATCTATCTATGCTTATGCTTAAATTTCAAAGTTTATATACAAAAAAAGTAGAGATTGGTATTTCATTAAATCCACTCAATAATTTTATATATAATATATATTTCATTAAAATTGCAGTAAAAAGTTTCCGATCTTTTAATGGAAAATGCAATTAACAACATAAGGTTTTACGAGTACCCAATAAATGGTGATAATTGTTTTTATTTTACAAATCGTGTAAAAATTCTTACTTGAGTTGCTTTCGATTTGGATTAAACTGGTTTTCTTTAGACGCTTTTTTAATGAATTTCCTCACATCAAAGACAAGTGGGTGGGTCATCGGGTCTCCTCTACGCCTTCACTTGGAAGCCAACCCCCTTCGAAATGCAAATCAATTTGCATTGACAATGAATTTGCAACTCGAACATGGCTCTGGATTCAGTTTGCATTGCATTAATTAGCTGGATAGTTATAGTACCCGTGTATTATATAAGCCAAAGTACAGCGCATTATTTAGTATGCATCTCGAGACATATATATACATATGTATATATTTGTGTTTGACTATCAACAATAATAAACTTGTCCGGCATTTGCAGTCATGTAAACTGTCTGCCAATCAGAAATGCCAAAAGAGATGATTCCCATGAATATTTCCGTAGAAT